GAAACAGAAAATTTTAGATAAAATTGAATATTCACACTTAGGAAGAAAAGTTCTTTTAATATGAGATTCAGTAAGATAAAATGTAGAAATATGACTTATTTAGTATATTTACAACAATATATTTTTCCAAAAAAGGCAAATAACGATTTAACATAAATAGTAAAATGGCAGTGGGTCAGAATGATAAAGAAAGTGGCGGGTACAATTATAAAAATGCCATTTGCAATTTTTTAGTACTGTAGCACATGAAATTGGTCAAAATTCACTAGAAAATCGCATATGGCAATTTTTTATCACATTGTCTGGCCGCTGCAGGTGATCTTGTGTCATTTGGAGCTCTGAATTAAGGCAAACTTGCAACTTGCGAGTTTTGACCTCTTGACATGCAGGCTATGCGTGCAAGGAGTGGCAAGTAAACTCACAATTTGCAAGTTTTGAATTGTGTTCAAGCAAGCAGAATAACTATTTCAAGGAAGACTCCAAAATTCCTATGCATTTTTTTGCCTATATATATTAGGTCCAATTCTTGTTGCATGCGCGAGAGAGTATTTTTGAAGTGAAGAAGAAACATTCCGGAGAGGAAGAAAAAGTAAGGTGAGAAAGAGAGAGTATTTAAAAAAAAAATTCAAAAAATTGGCAAATTTTTTTTTATATTTATAAGTTAGAATTTGGGGAAAAAAATGGTTAGGGACTCAACTATTGATTTAAGGAAACATATTTCAAAACAAATTCGAAATTAAAATGTAAGTTTTTATTATTTTATTTTATTTATTTAATATGTATATTTTGTAAAAATTCTGTAACTTTTTAATATTTGTAAACTTATTTTATTTTATTTATTGAATGTATGTATATTTTGTAATATTTATAAAAACTATTATAATTCAGTAATTGAATATAACTGTATATCAATTGTAATAAAGAATAAAGGAAAATGAGGATATAGTCTTTCATTAATAAAGAAAAAAAAAAGAATATTAAGGATAGTAATATATGTTTCGTGTTAATGTTGTCCCTTTTAGAATGCAATTGTTACTGATTCTTATATTTATCACTTTTGTAATAGTAATTTTTGTATAAATAACTTCTGTATTGGTAATTTTTGTATTACTAATGATTTTATGTATTTTTGTTATTTAGTTTTTTTTATTATTTGTTTCTAATTATTTATAAGTAATTAATACATAAACTACTACATATTAATGTAAAAGGCAACAACACATTAATATAAAATACAACAAATTAATACATAAACTACCACATATTAATAAAAAACACAACAACAATGATGTTAACAAACAACAGCCACAAGAAATAAAGTATAACAACTCCACACTATGAACTGAGGCCAACAGCATTAGGACAACGACTATAACTATGATTTTCTCCTCGACAAAAACTACAGCGTGGTAGGCACCTCATTTGTTGCATATCCATTTCATTCAAAAAACAAGTTGATTTCGAACGACCTTTCAAAGTACACTTTAAAGCGGGGTTAGGACAGAGCTTGAGACTTCGATATTTACACCACCTAGATTCATTTTCGATAATCCCAAATTCCTTATTGTATACATTGCATACTTCATTGATCGTATAGACTTCATTCACATAAGCACGCTAGTCAATGTTTTGACTACAACAGACAACAATCACGTGGCGATATGAATATCTATCAGTTTATAAGTTTCCACAATCACAATAATTTTGTCTCAAATGAACTTGATATTCCTTTGTGTTTGATAAATGCTGCACATGAAAAGCCTCATTGCGTCTATCAAACTGAGTCACATGAAGGTTTATTGAGCCATGCTCGTTTGATTGAAGATGACTTGTTATATTTTTTGACAACAAATGTCCAACATTCTTACGTGCATAAGCCTCGCTACCTTTACGTGCAAATAATTGTGCCAATCTGAAGTAAGTGACTCTTATAAGTGCTGTAATAGGCAAGTTGCGGGTACCTTTTAAAACAGAATTAATGCATTCTACGAGATTTGGTCGTCATATGACCCCATCGATGACCACCATCAAATGCTAAAACCCACTTTTCTCATGGTATTTCATTAAGCCAGTCTGTATAAATTTGTCAACGCTCCTGTATTCGCTCATAATGAATACTCAATTTGTGCTCCGTTCTTGAGTAACTTGTAAATAACAAATTATTTCTTGCATCAGCTTAAACAATGTCATGTAAGAGTATATTAATAACATTATTTTAAATATGAAACTCAGGTTTATTACCCATACGAACAACAAGTTTATGCAAGTTTAGAGCCTTGAATCTTCACAAGAAATTTGCAGCTATGTGTCTGATACAATACATGTGGAATGCTCTTGGGGGTTCCCACTGGCCATTACTTCTTATTGCTGCTATAATTGACTCGTGACGATAAGAAATCAGGCCAACATCATCTTTAGTTACAACATATTTTCATAAATTTTCAAGAAAAAACTCTAAGCATCTGCTGTCTCACCCTCAATAACAGCAAATGCAATTGGCAGTATTTTCTGATTTCCATCTTATGCAATAACAACTAGTAGAACTCCTTTATATTTGCCATATAAATGTCTCCTATCGACCTACACAACTGGCTTGCAATGGCGAAATGCTCTAATGCATGGACCAAAACTCCAAAACACTCGACGAAATATTTGAACATTGGGAAGCAATTCATTATTGCAATAAGCCTGTGCAACATCTAATTTCACAACCGAACCTGGAACAACATCACACATTGTTACGCACCATTGGGGCAAAGCTTCAAATGACGCTTCCCATTGACCAAATATTTTTTCAATTGCCTTTTATTTTGGCAATCACGCTTTTCGATAACTTATTGTGTACCCAAATCGAGACTAAATTTCTCCAATCACTACTTTAATTTTAAAAGAAGGATCAGATTTTACCATTGACTTTATACATTCTGCAATTGTGTTTATATCCAACTTTCTATGATTTTGAGAAATGATTCCAACAGTACAAGTGTGTGGACCGTTATATTTTCAAATTTATCAAAAATACTCGTTCTTCCTTAAACTAGCTCGGAGAAGCCACCTACAATCTAAGCCATACCTTACACATTTGCAATAAAATGTATTTTGTTCTGACTTGAACACTTTGTAGTCCACTCTTTTGGACATACTATAATGCTTTATTGTTTGAATAATAACTTTTTTGTTATTGAATTGCCTTCTAACATATAATTCATCATCTATCTTAGTGTTACCTACCAATACTGAACATAAACTAATTAACAAAACTATAATTAATTTCACTGACATATTTATAAAATACACATACCTAAATTTGCATACTCTGAAAACTCAGAAACATTCATAGCATCAACATCTAAATCACGCATGAATGGTGACTCTCCATATAGATGTAGACTAACTAGATGAGGCTCCTCCTCCTCCTCATCAGAATCTTCATGGATTTTCTTGCTTCCATGTTCACATTCAAAATCATTATCATCACTTTCACTATTGTTCTGTTCCCATTCTATCTATGTGTGTAGCATGGTCCCTACATATTCTTCTTCAATCGCATTATTTTTTAAAACAACATTTAACTCAATGGTACCACTTGGAGGATGATGTTACTCATGTATCTGAAACATTTGTTAAACATCATCATCGTTCGTTATAAAAATTGTATGATATTGCATAAAACTGCCAAATATCGATAGTGGACATCGATACATAATATTTTCTACTATTTTCAGCAATAGAACTTCAATATATTGACTGAGCCAATATTTTAAATCTTCAAATGATACGGTGTATGGAATATATATACATGTTGGCTTCTCACATATAAAAATCACAGCTTTACTCGTATTTGATATAATCTCACAATTGAAATAAACAACAATGACAACACTTATATTTTCCTTCTATAAAAACACAAAATTCTCAGAAACTAGAAAGAGATATATGTAAGCACAAATGGTCGAAGACTATCAAAAGTTCCGTATTTATAGACTCATCCTTTAAAAATCGCAAGTTGCAATTTTTTACTGTTTTTAAACTATTGTCCTTGGTCAAATGTTGTCATAGGTGAGTTTAGAATAATATTTCTACTTTCTTTCGTGGTCAAATATGCCATTTGTGATTTTATGATTTTTTTAAAATTTAATTCGGTCAAAACTCAAACGTTCAATTTTTGTAATTGCACTTTTACTTTTTATAACTTGCAAGTTACGATTTTTACATTTGATAACATGAAATTCTATTCACCCGACGTATAAAAATGCTAGTTGCGATTTTTATAAAAAACCATATTCAGGTAATATTGACAAATTTGCCATATTCTCTTAAGATGGGTTTACTTTATTTGCATTGAAAATATTTTTTTTACAAACGCATCTCTTTAATTTTTGTGAGATGATAAACACGGATTGGCCTCACAAACTAACTCATACAAAGCAGTTTGCTGCCATTTCTAAAAATGAAAATTGTTGGAAAAAGAAGCTAAAGCTACCTCTCTCCAATGGAAGACTAAAAAAAGTAATTCGGAACTGCAGCAGATCTGATCACTTTTTGGTTGCATAAAGTAATACATTAACAAATTCAACGACTGATTTATATTTATAAACATTATAAAAACATTAGTTAAAGAAGTTAAAATAAAATATTTATTAAATTAAAAATTAAAAATAAATCAAAATATAAACATTATAGGCATTATAAGAATAACCTTTAAATAAGGTTTAAATTTTTATGTATATAAAAATTTTAAATAATAAATTTATTTATCGTATTTAATTACGTGATTCAAGTTAAATTTAAATTAAATCAGATTAAGAATAAAAAAATAAATTTTTGAAATAATAATAAAAAATATTGAATACCCTTTACTAATATTCTTAAATTATTCATTAATACCCACCCTTGGTCGACGGTAATACTAACACGTGAAATTGGGAGGAATAAAACGACAAAGTATCCATCACCAAGCAGTGTACGACTGTGTCTTAAACCCACACTTAGAGTGCTTCACTTTCCCTAACCTCTCTTTCCCCAAAATTAAAACCCTTTTATTCTGAGAGTGTTTTGCTTCTTTCATTGGCGACAATGCAGTCGACGGTGTTCTCAGCAACCTCTCCATTTGTCCCATCTCACACTCTCAGATCTCATCGTTCTTCTCCCTCATTACCTCTTAGAGTCAGAGCCTCCAACGCCTCCTCCGTCTCTGTCGAGTCTCCGCCGGAGACGAAGCTGAACAAGTACAGTTCCCGAATCACGGAGCCCAAGTCTCAGGGAGCATCTCAGGCCATTCTCTATGGCGTGGGACTCTCCGAAGAGGACATGGCGAAGCCGCAGGTGGGTGTGTCGTCGGTGTGGTACGAGGGGAACACCTGCAACATGCACCTCCTCCGTCTCTCCGACGCCGTCAAGGAAGGTGTGGCCCAAGCCGGCATGATCCCCTTCCGCTTCAACACCATCGGAGTGAGCGATGCCATATCTATGGGCACTAGAGGCATGTGCTACAGCTTGCAGTCTAGGGACCTCATTGCTGATAGCATCGAGACCGTTATGGCTGCTCAGTGGTACGATGCCAACATCTCAATCCCTGGTTGCGACAAAAATGTAAACTCTTTCTCTATCTATCTATCTATCTCTGTGCGTTTCATGTTTTGTTACGTGTCTCACGCTTTTACAGATGCCAGGTACCATCATCGCTATGGGCAGACTCAACAGACCCAGTATTATGATTTATGGTGGGACTATAAAGGTAAAATCAATCGAATTAAATTTATGTAGTGGAGAACTGGAATTACTGCAATTATCTTGAATTTTGCGGCAATGACATGTGTTTTTTTTTTCTGTGAAATGTGGGTTTGCTTGTGTCAATTTTAATCTTCATTCTGATTTTTGTTTTTTTGTTTTTTTCAGCCTGGTCATTTTCAGGGTAATACGTTTGACATAGTGTCTGCCTTTCAGGTATGAGAAGTCGTTGTTGTTTGAATCTCATCTCATCCCTTTTTGGGTGTTGCTAATTGATTTCTCCTTCTTTTAGTTTGTGCTCATTCAAACATAGGTAAATTTTGTCAAAAAAAGGTTTATAATTTTCAAGGGTAGGAAAATAAAAACGATGCAAAGCCCTCTTTGAACAATTGAAAAATTTGAATAAGTAATAAGCTTAAACTTAGAAGAGGTCTTCAAACCCTTTACACTTCTGAGAAGTTTTCTTATTATTTTTTGGATATATTGTAAGAGAATATGTTGTCAAGGAGGATGGTCTGTCGTCTATGTTGTTCATCCTTTTTAAATGGGAAAAAAATGTTGTTGTTCATGTTGGAATTACTATACTCTAAAATGTAAGTTTGTTTTCCCTGAACATCAAAAATTGGATTTGTACTGCCAAAGTGATGCAACTACTGTCAATCATGATTCATTAATTTTTGGTTTTCCTGTAGTGCTACGGAGAATATGTGAGTGGATCAATCAGTGATGACCACAGGCAAAATGTTATTCGCAACTCTTGCCCTGGTGCTGGGGCCTGTGGTGGAATGTATACAGCCAATACCATGGCTTCTGCAATAGAAGCTATGGGAATGTCTCTTCCCTATAGGTAAATTTATGTGTTGGTGCTCGTGATTGCTTTTTCTTTTTTTTCTAATGTGCTTACCTTTTATTTGCTGTTCTTGTAGCTCATCTACTCCTGCTGAGGATCCGCTAAAGTTGGATGAGTGTCGTTTAGCTGGGAAATATATTCTTGAGTTACTGAAGATGGACTTGAAGCCCCGCGATATCATCACTCGTAAATCGTTACGTAATGCAATGGTTTTAGTGATGGCACTTGGTGGATCTACCAATGCTGTGTTACATTTGATTGCTATTGCCAAGTGAGTGAAGTTTGGTGCCATAGATCCTATTGATATACAATAATCTTGAGAGGAAACCTCATGTAATGATTTTGGCAGGTCTGTTGGCATTGATTTGACTCTTGATGATTTTCAAAAGGTTAGCGATGAGGTTCCTTTTCTTGCAGATCTTAAGCCTAGTGGGAAATATGTCATGGAAGATGTTCACAAGGTATGCATTTAATGCTCTTGTTAGCTAATTGAACATTGCTTTGATTGTCAATTTGGGCCTGTCATTCTTATGATCTTTGTGTTCATTTTCAATACGATTCTTGCTTGAAATTTCTATTCTTTTTTTCCTTTTGATAGATTGGAGGGACCCCTGCAGTTATCCGCTACCTTCTTGAGCAAGGCTTTTTAGATGGTGATTGTATAACTGGTATGTTTACCTGCCTTTGTGTGTTACGAACAGACCGTTTGTTTCTTAAAGAGATATAATTATCTTTAACATACATATGCCTCCTCTCTAGTCACCGGAAAGACCCTAGCTGAAAATGCAAAACTTACTCCTCCTTTGGCCAAAGGGCAGGTATGAATATGATGTAATTTCTTTTCAACTTTATTTATTCTAACAAGTTGATCTTTTGACAAGTTAGAATTTTTCCATGACACATGATTCAGGAAATAATAAGGCCTATAGAAAATCCCATCAAGAAGACAGCTCATATTCAAATATTATATGGGAACCTTGCACCGCAGGGTTCTGTTGCTAAAATTACTGGAAAAGAAGGGCTGTACTTTTCTGGTGAACTTTCTTGCACGGTCCTAAAAAGTTGCTTTGTGTCAGATTATATTTTCCGATATCACAATTCATTAATACAGGGATTATTCAACAGGTCCTGCACTTGTGTTTGAAGGAGAGGAGGCAATGATTGCTGCCATTTCAGAGGATCCTTCGAGTTTTAAGGTATTTCTTTGTATTTTACGTAGAACTCAATGCATGAGGACAATGCTGACAGCGGGGCCGTCGAGAGGCTCAAGAGTCAAGAATGTTGTTTGAATGAAGTATAAAGAATTGGGATATTCAAAAGGTTTACTAAATCATACATGCTTGTCAGCCTATAACAAATTCAGATAATTAGATCTAAATAAGTCTTAATGAACTATGACACTGAATGGAGGCATGAAAGGAATGAGAGAGGGGCTGGGTATTGTTGTAGAAAAATTACATAGAAACCATGGGACAGCAGAAACTTTGGAATTCAGGAGATCAGAGTGAAAACTTCCTCAAGATAACATTTTTGAGTTGTGTTGTATCTCATTTACCCCTGTAGCAAATCATTTGACTTGCAAGTAAGCAATTGTCTAGGACTTTCTTAAACCATGTAGTATCCTTTAATTCTATCATAGTTATGTAAAATCACCTAAAATAACTAAATAAAATCCGTGAAAGTAATTCCTTCAACGACTACCTTAAAATCATCAAATTTGAAATTTTGATGCTTAACGCAAGCACTCTACATAACTTAAACCTCCTCCTAATTCTAAGAGCATGCTTGGAAAAAATGGTGAGGGAGTTCTGAATCATGTTTGAAGGAAGGTAAACTGCACCCTTGCTTTTGAGATGAACTTTTACGAACATTAATCACTTTACTTGAACTCATTTTTAACCAATATCAATTTTACCAATTGTGATAATTAAAAATTCAAGTTTGCAAATGCTCTCCCAAGGTGTCATTAGAGATAATTTTTTTTAAAAATAAATGATGACTTTAGAGTAATAGCATTTTCTGAATTGAAGTTTTAGAATTATTCTATTAAAGTCCGTGAAAGTAATTCCTTCAACGGCTACCTTAAAATCATCAAATTTGAAATTGTCAGTGTACTTTAACCCTTTTTGTGATGCTTAACACAAGCACACTACATAACTTAAACCTCCTCCTAATTCTAAGAGCATGCTTGGAAAAAATGGCGAGGGAGTTCTGAATCATGTTTGAAGGAAGATAAACTGCACACTTGCTTTTGAGATATATATTTTTTTAAATAAATGATGACTTTAGAGTAATAGCATTTTGCAACATTTTCTGAATTGAAGTTTTAGAATTATTATATTAAAATTTATTTTAGTTGAGCAACAACAATAACAACTGAGTTTATTTCATACATTTTAGCTGCTAGAACCTAGAGTCTTGAGTGTTCTGCTTTTGTTATGATTCTCACTTGTTGCACCAAATATTTCCTTGGAACTATACTTGTTATGAATTTGGTTTAAATGGCTGCTATACACAGTGTTGTCAATGTTTAACTGGGTTTTGCACAGTTATAACCACTGTGGGTAGCAGCTGAAATGAAAATATGATTTCTTTTATGTGATGTTCACTTTTTCAGGGGAAAGTGGTTGTAATTAGGGGAGAGGGACCCAAGGGTGGTCCAGGCATGCCTGAAATGTTAACACCAACAAGTGCAATCATGGGTGCAGGGCTCGGAAAGGTCAGTCTTTTATCTTCTTGTTTATTCTGTTTACTTAGTTTCTAACAAACAGTGTTATGTCTTTTATGACTATGAACTCTCCTGAAAAGTTTTTCATTTCATTTTATTTTTCTCATTAACCAAAGACATGTATGAAGATGCTTCGGCTAATATTTTTTAGTGGGAACTGAAATGCTTTTTGGACAAACTTCATTAACCATGATAGTGAATCTGGACTGGAGTCACATTGCTTAATGGTATTGCCTTTTGATGCTGCAGGAAGTTGCATTATTGACTGATGGACGATTTTCAGGAGGTTCACATGGATTCGTGGTTGGCCACGTATGCCCTGAAGCACAGGTTAATTGAATATGCTTTAAAATCATTTTGCTAATTCTTCAATTAGATAAAAAAGAATTCAGATGTATCTCATGTGAACTGTTATCTTTAAGATATTTGATCAAATGATTGATGTAACTAGTTCTGGCACTTAATTATTCTAACGAAAAGGAATGTTTATCTATAATATGGGGTGTGTGTGTGTGTGTGCCCATGGCTTTCTTCACCCATGGGATACTGTTTTATATCAGTGTTCTGAGAACCACCTGGTTTGGATCTTTTGTAATAACCTGGAGTGGCAAAAATGACTGTGTTAAGAGTGTGAGCTAAATGTCAAATGATTAAGGGAAGTGGATTTCAATGAAACCAAGGAAGCTAAAGTGAGAAAGAAATATGTCTGAGCAATGGCATCATTAAATGGTATGGTATGGCACCTTAATTTAAAAGGATCCGAGCAGTGGCTTCAACAAGTTTTGGAATTATTATCCTCACTTTGGAAATTCATTTATTGGAAATAATTGTGATGTGTTTGTGTATTAGGAAGAGATTACATACTACAGAAACCATTTAGGCCTTCGTTTTGGTATAAAACCTTATCTTTTCAAATGCACCCGAATTTAGTTTTCAACATTCCAGCTATTTCATTATGATGGGTGTAAGAGTAGTGTGTCTCATTGTGAATGTTGAACATGACATTATAATGCTTTACTGAAATTAGTGCTTTAGGAAACTAAAGTAAGACTAAACACAAAAGTTGTCTCCAGGAAAGGGCCTTAACTTGATTTGGTTTTCCATTTCTTCAGGGACTTATTCAATTAATTTGTTTCAGAGATTTAGAAAATCTTAATTATAGCTTCTTGTAACGTACCGATAATAATTCTACCGGCTTCTATGATTTATAGGAAGGTGGTCCAATTGGCTTGATTCAAAATGGAGACGTTATCAATATTGATGTCCAGAAGAGGAGAATTGATGTTTTGGTAGCAGATGAGGAAATGGAGGCACGGAGGAAAAAGTGGACTGCTCCTCCATACAAAGCTAACCAAGGATCTCTGTACAAGGTATGAGACCTGAAACTACTTCTGGAAAAAAGAGAAAGATATGCATAATATTTTATAGAGATCACGTTGCTTTTTGTTTCTTATAATGTAATGAGTACTACTTTGTTCCCCCTATTTTTAATTGTCACAATTTTGATCTCCCAAGTTCAGAGCAGAGTTGGCCTCATCTCTTTATAGACATTTTTAACATAGAGGGGTTTTAGACTTGGTGATATTTTATGTGACAAGGACTGCATATCATTTTTCGTAGCTCTAAGTTGGTGTTGCCGTGGTAAATAACGAATAAAATTCACAAAAAATCTAAAGAATCGTAGAAGGATGGGCGTGAATGATTGAACAACTTGAAGGACTAAAATATAGCAACTGAAAGATATTGGGATGGAAATTGAGTTTTTATAATTTTAATTTTTTTAATTAGAGAACCAAAAATATATTTTGTATTTCAACTCTAAATTAATAAGTATAAATGCACACATTGACACCTTTTGGATAGTGAAATATGATAAACACTTTTGTTGGTGCTTTTATCTGTCTGTATTCTAAGGTTATATATTTTGTTTTTGTGCATCCAGTACATTAAAAATGTGAAACCTGCTTCTAGCGGATGTGTGACAGACGAGTAGAAAGGACATACTTCTTGGAGAGCAAAACTTTATTGTATGCCTTAGTAGCAGTTTTAGATGAGGTATTGCGATTTTGGCTTAAGCGGTGCGTGCTCTTGTAGCTCGATGTATCTATCTCTTGTTCTATTAGTGTTATTTTTTACTATATTGTTTTAGACTTGAATCTCACCGCTTCTCTTTTCTTTTGCTGCGTTTGATCTTCAGGGTTTTTTTTAGTCATTAAATTTTGTAACATTTAGTGGTGAAACGTTAGATTGATTCCTTGGCAAAAATTCACATGTGCTTGGCAAAACTGAAAAATAAAAATAAAAATCCTCTTTTCAGAGAATTTAAAGTACTGTAGGAAATTAAATCAAAGCGCGCACACACACACAGATTCGTTTGATCTTTTTCTTCAATTGAAAGTTATAGTTTTATTTTAATAATTAGCGCTGACTTGAAACGTTGATCTTTATGAATCATTAAAGTAAAATTTTAATTTTGATTAAAAAAATATTGAAAAACATTTGAGATTTAGAATGATAAAGGGTGGACTTGTATCACTGCATCATTTCCTTTTTCTTTTTTTTTCCAATTGATAGAATTTGCTTTCATCAAGTTGGGAATGGATTCTCAAAAATAACTTTATCACTGCATAAGATCATATCCGTTCATTTTTTCTTATGGATATAATATATTTTATTTTTAAAATGAGATTTAGAATGAGAAAAGGTGATATTGTTTCATTGCACCATCTCTATTATTTTTTCAATGGAGAAAATATGCTCCATATCAAGTTTGATAGATTGCGTTGAAAGATTTTATTTCTTTTAAACAAAATATTTTTATATATTATAATTATTAATTAATTTATTTATATAATATCTAAACAAATTACCGGAAAATATAATTTTGTTTTATTCATTCTTTGTTTTATAAAGCTAAATTAAGTGTTATAAATTAGATTACATGTACATGGATGATATGTCCATTTGACTGGTTTCTAAAAAGCAATGGATTGACAAATATGTACGGTATGTCAACGATGGCAACCAAAGCAATAACTTCATTGTTCATCTCGCGATTCTGGGTTATGCATACCTAGCATTTTGAAACAACTTGACCAAACTATGTCAGGGACCGGTTTGGTGAAACCCAATTCATTAAATTCAGGATTTGTATTACTGTTGGAAAGTGGAATCTCTGTTTAATGTATGTTAAAAAGACGTAAAAGCTTTAACTAGGAGTTCTAAAATAAATATAGATTCACTTGGATTCTAACGTGAAAGTAAACATGCTATTAGTCACTTTAATTTTATATTTTATCTTAGAAAAACTTGATTATAACGTAGTTTTATGTATTGGAAGTTAAGGCTAGAACTCCATATGAATTCTTAACCAAACAAGCTCTTAAATGATGTGGGTTCTGTAGCAGGGAAATAAGTAATCACATCAAGTGGATGCATCTATATCTGTAACAAAACCAACTTGGTCCTTTATACGAGATGGATGCATCTCTGTGTATATGAGAAGTAGGGAATGTCAACAATGGCAACCAAATGAAGCGATAACTGCATCACATTGTTCATCAATCATGAGGTTTGAGGCTTTGAGGAGACAGCCATTACCATTGGACATCAAAGTTCCAACATTTCAAACAACTTGACCAATGACAGAGTAGTGCCAGGCCAGACCCAGCTCATCAAGATTAGGACATTAATAAGTTGGTCCATATGTATTCATCATGCCTTACACGTATTCCCAGCAGGTATGTACTCATTTCTACATAATAGAAGTCACATCGATTTCATATTAACTTCAACACACATTTTATTTGTATTTAATAGTTTAAAATTTATTTAAATTTATTTTAAAATAAACATTTTTTTAGTGTTTTTTTAATATATATATTTTATTTAAACTTGGTATATTTCATGTTTAAGACGCCTCTGTTCAAGTCAAATAAAATTATTGTGCGTAATAAAAATTGTATAATAAAATAGAACAATTGTTATCAATTAATTCACAAGATGAATGTTTAAATATTTAGAAATGTATGTACATGTACTTATTATTTATATTTTAATTGAATAAAAGTGTTATTTGATATCCTAATTATAAAGATAAATTTGTTAATCGACTGATAAGCCATGTTTCCTAGACTAATAAATGTAGAGAAGGCCTAGTAGTCGCAATGCAACACAACGGCAAAGATAATGTTAAACTATAATAACAAGGAAATAAAGTTTTTAGTTTTAAGATGAGAAAATTAAATTATTAACATAGAATTTGTGAGTTATAATTATAAAATCATGGACTATTCTTTCTTTTATATTTAATATGTTAAATAATGTGTAAGTACATAAAAAATGGAGTAGCAAATACCAAAGTCACTCTGTTTACATCCATTTCCTTAAAATTTTCCAGTAAATATATGCCTCAGAAGAAGACTTATTTAACATGTAATTCCTTCGTCAGATATAATAAGTGTCTCACTCTTTAACCATAATAGTACCAATTTTCTTCGTAAATACATTGGCTACCAAACGGATGCAGTGTCTAGACAGCGTAAAACATTGAATTGTAAAACATAAATTGTTGCTGTTTGACTTTGATTTTTTATGTTACTGCAAAAGGAATGCAATTTTTAGTTAACAAAGAACTTGAAAAAATAGCTAAACAATACTTTTTTTATTTAAAATAAACCGACCATGCGTAACACAGATGTTTTTTCCTGCAAAGATTAAATGGGTAAATTAGTTTACAAAAATATAAGCGACATTTTGATCAGCGGAGAAAATATGATTTATTTTTAAAATCATGTGTAGACTAATTTAATTCTTTATCTACTGGACCTAATATGTAAAAAATAACTTAAGTTATTGATATTTTATGAAAAATTAAGTCAACAAATAATTCATTTTCAAAAGTAAACACTAAAAATAAAAAACATTAAAATAATCTACGTTTATAATCTTTAAAAACTACCAGGTTCTTCATTGATGCTCTTCGCACATAGTATAAAATAGTAGGAAAATCTCTTGTGAACAAAGTATAGGGAATAATCAAACTTTTAGTTCCTTAATTATATTTTGAGACAGGTATGTATATATATATAAGGTCATATAATGCAATCTTTTAGCCATCCTTTTTGACGAAGCACTGAAAACGTACGGTATGGTCAAAGGTCGTAAATACGACAAGTATTGAGTTGAATCTGTAACATCTTGGATTCTCCGTTATGCCATGCCACCTTTCTATAAAAGGGAAACTGCAATTCCAAGTAAAAACACATTGTCTTAGCATTCGCAATGGCTTCATCAATTGCTATACATTTCATGCTTCTCTCAATAGCCCTTTCCTCAATACACTCCTTATCAGCATTATCACACGTTCCCAACACCTTTACCCTTGGCATTAAAAAAGACCAAGAAACCAATCTCTTCTACGCTTCAGTTGGCATAGGAACTCCAAGACACAACTTCAACCTAGTCATTGATCTTGCTGGAGAAAACCTATGGTACGATTGTGACACTCATTACAATTCATCATCATACACTCCCATTTCTTGTCGCTCCAAAAGATGCCCAGAAGATATATGCGTTAGTTGCGATGGCCCCTTCAAACCCGGTTGCACAAACAACACGTGTCATGCTACTGCAAGTAACCCTTTAGCTAACTCCATCTTTGGTGGTGAACTTGGGGATGATATCGTTTTCCTTTCAAAACAGAAAATCTCTGGCTTGCTTACTAGCTGCATTGAAGTCGATGGATTCTCATCATTCAGGAACAATGATTCAGCACTTTTTCACTTACCCAAAACCTCCAAAGGAGTTTTAGGCCTTTCAAAATCACAACTTGCGTTACCAGCACAACTTGCATTAGCAAATAACCTTCCTCACAAGTTTTCTCTTTGCTTGCCTTCTTCAAACAACCTTGGTTTTACCAACTTGCTTGTTAGGGAACAGCCACAGGAAGTTTCGAAATTTCTCCAAACGACACCGTTGATTGTCAACCCTGTTTCCACGGGTCCAATATCCGTGGCAGGTGTTCCTTCCAATGAGTATTTCATTGATGTGAAAGCTGTTAAGATTGATGGGCATGTTGTGAACTTGAAGCCTTCCCTTTTGTCTATTGATAACAAGGGAAATGGTGGCACCAAAATTAGCCCAATGAGTCCTTTCACCGAGTTACAATCCTCTGTCTACAAAACCTTCATTCGGGATTTCCTCAAGAATGCTTCGGATAGAAGATTAAAGAGAGTGGCATCAGTGCCACCATTTGAGGCATGTTTTGATTCAAGTTCCGTTGGGAATTCCGCAAGTGGGTTTGCTATGCCAACCATTGATCTAGTGTTACCAGGAGGAATGGAGTGGAAAATCCATGGTGCCAATTCAATGGTGATGGCTAAGAAAAATGTAGCATGTCTAGCAATTGTCGATGGAGGGAAAGAGCCAAAGATGTCGTTTGTTAAAGCTTCAATTGTTATTGGTGGATATCAGTTGCAGGACAATCTTTTGGTCTTTGATGTGGCTTCATCCAAACTAAGCTTCAGCTCTTCGCTTTTGCTCCACAATACAAGCTGTTCCCACTCTCGAATGTTATTTTAATTTTAGGCTCATGATGTTTTTTTTTTTTAGAGTTATCCAGGTTGAATAATGATGTAGCTTCTGTCTTTCAATTTTGAAGATAATAAATTATCGTAAGTCGTAAAGGTATTGAGTTCCATTTTATGAAAATTTTCAACATTGTGATGCTGTATATCATTGTTTTATTTATTTACGTATTTCAATAATTTATCTCACTTATAAAATAGATATCTTTGAGTGTCTTATTTTAATGGCTTAAAATATATTTTCATAATAAATAATGGATAATCATCCCTGAAGACATAATTTCTAGAAGTTGAAATAGAAAGAAGAAAAAGGAAATAAAATATATAACGTGATATAATAATAATAAAAGAAATAGAAAGAAAAACAAGATAAAAGAGTTATGAAGATATTATGTAGGTATATAATTTATTTATTTTTACTTGTAAGTATATGAATATATACTTATTGATAAATAATTACTATGTTATCTTTAGACAGAAAACCGGTTGGTAGTTTGCAGTTCTATATATATACTGTTAATTTTTGTGGACTGCAAATAAATCAAGCAATATCTACTTGAATTAATACCTTGGAACATTAATAAAATAAAAAAAATCAAATAATACATATACACACTAAAATCAATTCTAATGATATAACATAAAAGTTAATTATAATTGACTTCAATTATAAAAAACTAAATTATAATATACTTTTATTTTAAAAAAAATACATAATATTGTCAACGTGCGACACTCCATCCATCCATCCATCCATCCACAGTAAAGTAGTAAAGTACCCATTTGATTATGATGGGTTGGAATGGGTTGAAGCTTCTCTTTTCATTTGTCCTAATTAGCTTCTTCCTCAGTCCTGCTACCACAGAAGCACAGGCTCCAACCTTTCTAGATCAGAGTTGTTGGAGCAACAGAACCACAGCTAACAACGCCTTTCAATTGAACCTCAGGACCCTCTTCTCTTCACTATCTTCCAAAACTACTGCCAACAATGAATTCGACAGTACTACAGTCGCAACTAACCTCTTAGACACAGTCTTCGGACTATTCATGTGCAATTTTTTTTCAATATTACATATTGTTTGTCAATATTTTTTTAAACGAAAGTCGAAAGTTGATTATAATCGAATTTTACGTTATACCGTTAGAATTAATTTATGTAATACGTATAATTATTGTATCAATAAAATTGATTTTAATTGACTTCTGTATAATTTAAATTAAAATATTTTTATAAAACTTTTTAATTTGATATATATATATATATATATAATATTCGATTCTTTTTATTTTATTAATGTGAAAAATCCGAGATGTACAAGCTTTTGAACTACGTAATGTACTATTTTTCAATATTATTAACTGTTTAAAGTATAATAATAACAACACGAGTGTTTTAGAAAACTCAATTTTGACTTTATGTCAACGACAAAAAGTAAAGAAATACATAGTTAATAAGTGAAAATGAGTAAAATAATAAATTTTTATTTTAAAAAAAATATAAAATACATTGTGTGACAATTATAAAAAAGGAAATTTGTTATTGCATAGATAAATATTTAAAGCTTAAATATATTTTCAATTTTTACGTATTTTTATGAGTTTTTAATTTTAAATTTTTTTTAAGTATTCATCACTAAAATTTGAAGATTAAGCACATTTAATTCTGATAATGTTAAATAAGTATGTGATCACTAAGTTAAAATTGACATATATATACCAATACTTTTAAATTAGTAGAAAAATTAAAATTTACAAAAAAAAAAGGTTTATATGAAAATATAATAAAATTGAATACACAAATGAAATTTTAGTCTTTAATTTGACCAAATTTTAATTTAATCACTTTTTAGTCAATTAAAATTTAAAAAATAATATAATTTGATGGTTAATGAGTAAACTACCATATTAATTCATGGAATTATATGAATGAGTATTTTAGTTTGAATGATTCTTGAAATTTACATTTGTTAGTTAATTTAGTCTTTTAAGTATTTATTATTAAGCGACATATAAGATTATTTATGTAGCTAAAATTATATCATTATAGTGATCATAACGTCTTATACTTTAAAATCTAAACCAGATATAAGTTCAACCTAATTTTCTATTTAACCTTCTCTACCATTATCAATCTGCCATTCTTTTCATCTTCAACTCAGTTTTGATTGTAATTTTATTTTTTCCTATTTGTACCGTTACGTTGTTCCTTCACTTGCTTCCCTTTCGTGTTTTTCTTCGGTTCACTGCATCTCCAATCTTGTTGACCTTGGACTCCAATTTGCTATGCTTTTCAGAATTTGCTCAGTCGCACAATAGTTTGTGAATTCGTTCTACTTCAAAGGTTAGTGGTGATAGTTAGAAATTAAAGATAATTGTATTTGTTTTTAGTATTATTTTGGTTGAGATTTATTAATCTAGCGAGAAAAGAGTAGCTCTTCTCTTCCATAAGGTATATTTTTAGTTTTTAAAAAGAGAAAATTCTTTTTAAAATGGAAAATAAACATGCTCTTAACTTCTACTGTTTTTACTTGAATACCACTGATATTGCATAAGAAAGTCATTTAATTTAGGAAGATAAGAAAAGACGTAATTTAAAGATTTACAACATTTTAGTCGCATAAACAATATTATATATTATTTAACATTATAATTTAACGTTTCATTGCTGTTTAATAATAATAAGTAATTAAAGGATTAAACTAACACAAAAATGATTCTAAAATTCTCAACTCACTTTAAATAATATTTAAAAAAAATAAATTACCAAAATATAACTTTTTTAAAACTAATTTTCTAATTTTTTTTCACATGTCGTAAGTTTCACCGTAATCGATGGCAAAACTTGCTTCGTTAGTTTTAGATTATATTTCTTGCATTGTAGCTAAGCTTAGTTTCCTGTAAACAGTTAAGTTCATTATTGCATATTGACATTAAGAATTTGTCTTGCGGTTACGATAATATCAGAACGATATAACAAGAGAGATCGATAAGAGTAGGATATGATAAGAGTAGGATAAATTTTTATATATTTAATATTTAATGAAAAAATAATAAAATTATTTTTTTATATTTAGTAAATTAAATTTTTACTTTTTATATTCTATTTATTTTTAATTTAGAAAATATATAAATAATTTACATTTTTTTAAAATTTAAAGATATATAAAAATAATTTAATATACTTTTAAATTTTTAATATATTTTTAAACATATATAAAATAGATAAGAGAGAAAAGAGAGACTAGAGTAGAGAGAAGTAATAGAATACAATTGTAATCTTTTTCTTCATCTTGTGAGATAATATTACACTAGTCTAATAAAATAATATCAATAACAAGATAATTCAACAAGCATTTAACTAATAATGAATATGATAATTATTTTATTTTATCCATCTTTATGCTTATTACCAAATAAATTTTGAAGATCCGTTTGATAGTTAAGATAGGATTAAGATGGATAAAATAAGAGAGTTAGATAAGATAAGAATAAAATTGAAGCATGATAAACTTTTATCATATCTAATGTTTAATGCAAACTTAATAAAAAGTAAAATATGACATAAACAAATTACCTTTTAAATATGAAGTTAGGTTTATTATTGTGAATTGATGTTAAAAATTTGTTTGGTAGTTAGAATAAGAACAAAACAGGTAAATTAAGAGAGTTGGATAAAAGTAAAATACAATAAGAGCATGATACAGTTTTTATGATATTTAATGTTTAATGTAGAAAATTACAAAATTACTCTTTTTCTATATTTAGTAAATTAAATTTTTATTTTTTTATTTTTTATATTTTATTTATTTTAAATTTATAGAAAATATAAAAACAATTTAAAATGTTTTTAAAATTAAAAAAAATATAAAAATACAGAAGAGAGTAAAGAGAGAAATAATAGAACACAATTGTTATACTATCTCTCATCTTTTAATTCAATGATATTTTTAGATAATAATTACACTAGTTCAGTAGAATAATATATATGACATATAAGTTTTAATCCTATTAGTATGACTCAATAAATACTTAACTAACGACGAATATGATAGTTATTCTATTTTATTTATCTTTATCTTAATCACATAGCAGGCTTTAAAAATTTGTTTGGTAAGATTAAAAATAAATAAAATAAGAGAGTTAGACAGAATTAAAGTATGATAAACTTTTATTATATCTTATGTTTGATGTAAACTCCATAAAAAGAAGAATATGATATAAACACATAAAAAATAACAATATTATTCTTTTATCTATATTTATTAAATTAAATTTTAATATTTTTATTATACATAAGTTATTTATTTTTTATTTATAAATAATTTAATATATTTGTACAATAAAAATCTATAAAAATAATATATTATATTTTTAAAATTTGTATTATATTTTTAAAAATATAAAAATAGAGAAGAGAGAAGAAAAAAAAAGAAAGAGAGAGGAAAGAGATAATCAATTACAATTATCTTATAAAAATAATTTTTATTCTTTTCTAATTTAATTATATTTTTAAGATAATTATTTTACTAGTACAATATGATTATGTGGCATTACAAATTAATTCTTCAACAAATACTTATTAAAAATAATATAATACATTATTTTATCTTAACTATTAAATGAGCTCAAAACACATATTTTTATGGTGTTTGTATTTTTAAATTGAAAATAAAAAAATTTAACATTTGAAAGAAGTCAACTTTTTATTTTTAAATTTATTTTGAATATTTTTAAAAAATTATTTTTAAAACTGATTTTTTATTTTATTTTATATATTCTTACATTTATAAATAAAAAATATAAATGTTGTAAATAAAATATATTTTTTAATTACTTAAAATTAACTTCAAATATTAACGTTAAAATATAGTAAAAGAAGAACTTAAGATTAAAAAATTTAATCATGCATTAGAAGTTTTTTTTTTTTTAACTAAGCACTGTAAAACTAAAATTGACAATTGATTGAATTTGTTCGATGAGCTTTAAGCTGAGGTG